CTTGGCAGTAGGATGTGGCCTGTGTGTGCCGGTATGTGTCTGTGTTCCACACAGGATCCTCACAAGACCAGGGGTTAACATATAGACTTCACAAAGCAGACAGATAGTCTGGCCCTCAGTGTGTGTGTGTGTGTGTGAGGGTCATGTCTCCAGAAACCCTCAGGCAGGAAGAGGGGGTGGGGGCTATGGCCTCACCTCTGCCTGGCTGGTCCTCAGCCCAGCTCAGCCGTGCTCCAGCACCATCTGGGGCCAGACAGCCTTTGAGGACATAGCTGAGGTTTGGCGGTGTTGCCTGCTCCAGGGCTGAGTCAGCACAGGGATTCAGGCCTCTACTGCAAAAGCAGTTGGAATCTTGGAGCCCTGGGGTTCCCCTAGCCCACTCTTCCCTTGGGCTTCGAGAGGGTGCGATGTGCCCAGAGCACCCAGATGTTGACAGCTAGACTCTGTAGGACATACTTGGAGAAGGCCTGAGGCAAGTCATCCACCATCTGAGGCTAAGGTGACTATGGGGCACAGGTGGCTGTGGTATGGCCCTAAGGCATGGGGCTCTATGCTGGGGTGTCCATTCCCCCCTGAGCTAGATGTTATAGTGCCTGCCTAAAGCATTTGCAGGTGTCCTGGGATGACAGACACTAGTTCAGTGACCAGAAAAGTGCTGGGTGGTAAAGGAGGGAATATCTGACTGTAAGGGACAGAGATAGGGCGTGGCCAAGAAAGCCTGACCTTGGCTGATGATGGGCAGGCGGGTTGGCTCTGACTGACACCTTGGCTCTATGGCCTGGGCAGAGGCCTTGGGTGAGGTTATGTCTGTCTTCCTGTGTCTCCCCTCAACATCTGGGAGTCCGCTCTCCCCATGCTGGTCCCCTCCCTATCACCTGCCAGTGCCCCCATCTGGAACCTGGGCCTGGTCTCTGTTTCAGCCCCAAGGTATCATCCCCTCCCCACACCCAGCCCCCACACCCAGTGATGTCCCTGCATCCTCTGCTAACTGAAGCCAGTGCCTGCCAGGCCAGCTCCAGCCCTTGGGGTCTGAGACTGGGACAGACCCACCTCTGAGGCTGATGAGAGAGACAGACAGTGGGGAAGTGGTGGGTGGTCACGCCAGGCCCACGAGGCTCCTACAGAAGAGCCAGATATGTTCTGCCAGGTCTGAGCAGAGAGAGGGAGTGTTGGGCCCTGTGGGGAGAACAGACCCCAGTGCCACCAGAGGCGCGCATCCTAAAGGCTGGATAGAGCTCCTTGGGGTCATGGAGGGTAAGGACAGGGAGGGGATCTGTCCTAAGAAATTGTGTAACCCAGGCTGGGCCAGCAAGACTGCTCAGTGGGTAGAGGAGCTTGCTGCACAGGCCTGCCTGAGGGCCTGAGTTCAATCCCTGGGACCCACATGAGGAAGGAGAGAGAAAAGTAATCCCATGCTCTTTGGACTCTATAGTCACATGGCATAAATGTCCCCACACATACACAAATGGCCAGAACGAAAGAAGAAACTGACTCTAAATGTTTCTCCACCTAGAAAGGGCTTCCCTCCGTCGGTGTTGCTTGCTGGCCCTTCAGTCTTTTCACGTGTTGTCCCAGCTGCCTGCCCTGCCTGTCCTACCTCACCTTCTGGCCAAACACATCCTTCAAGACCAGTTCTGCCGGGCGGTGGTGGTGCACGCCTTTAGTCCCAGCACTTGGGAGGCAGAGGCAGGCGGATTTCTGAGTTCGAGGCCAGCCTGGTCTACAGAGTGAGTTCCAGGACAGCCAGGGCTACACAGAGAAACCCTGTCTCGAGAAAAAAAAAAAAAAAAAGACCAGTTCCAAGCAGGGAGTAGTGGGTCACACCTGCCATTAGCTCTCAAGAGGTAGGAGGTGGGAAGACCAGAAGTTCAAGGCTATTCTTGGCTGCATAGTGAATTTGAGGGCAGCCTGGTCTACATGAGGTCCCTTCTCTAAGGAAACAATCAGACCCAGAGATAGCCAGCTACTTTATCCCCAGGTTACAGTGTCCATGATAGCTGTGACCCAAGCAGTCATTCTCCCTAAAAACAAATCTTGGGACCCCAACACACTTACGTGTACATTAAGCACCCTTAAAGCAAGTGTAGTCTCAGGGCATCCCAGCAGCCCTCCCCGAATGTCTGTCTTGCAGTCCTTCCTCTTGGATTCTGCTATTTTCAGACTTGTTTTAAGCATTTTACTGGTCCAAGATTTTTCTCTAGGCCATGGTGTAAGGAATTTTAAGAACCCCTGGTTCTAAAATTATAAAATCTAAAGTGTCAGGGGCAGGACATTGGGCATCCAGTGCCCTGAGCTGACCTCAGGGAGGCAGGAGCTGGGTCTCTGGGGGGTCTTGGCCCTGATTCTCCAGCCAAGGGGCGTATCCTGGCAGCCCTGCTAGGGGCAGAGGGAGGCGATGGATTTTCCAGAAGCTATGACTGAGGTTCCAAGAGGGAGGGCTGGGATAGAGCACCAGGACAGAAAGAAGGCAGAGCCACTGCCAGCACAGGGTAACTCTCCCTTCTCTGGAGTCTTAATTTCCTCATGTAAAAATTGGGGGTGAATTCTGTCCTGTCACTGAATAGGCAGAGAGGGAAAGAGGTCCACAGCCCTCCGGGCCTAGCTAGAGAGGGGTTCCGACTAACCCCACTTCACATTAACAAAGACACCAGGGCCAGGTCAGTCGTCCCCCTAAAACTCAGCCAGCAGCCAGAGAAGCCCCAGCACTTTCTCAATGAAAGGTATTTGGCAAGAAGTCTGGACACCTCATCAGGGGCCTGGACTTTGCAGCGGGCTCCCCATCCCTTTGCAGGGAGCTGCAGCACGAGATAATCCTTGGACTGCCCCAGGCAGCCCTGCACAGCTCTCAGTGAGTGGGATTTTAAGCATCTGTCAGCTACAGTTCCAGCAGAGCCCTGGGGTCACCTCAAAGGCCAGGGTCTGCACTCGGCAGCTTTCTGAGCCCTCAGGATTCACATCTCTCAGGGTACAAGAAGGTGCTCCTGCCGGGGGTAAGAATGGCCCCCACCAGAAGGTGCTCACCACACAGGGGAGATTGTGAGTGGCCGGACCAAAGCAAAGTCTAGGAGTGAGTTAAAATGAGACACCTGGCCGGGCGGTGGTGGCGCACGCCTTTAATCCCAGCACTTGGGAGGCAGAGGCAGGCGGATTTCTGAGTTCGAGAGTTCAAGGCTAGCCTGGCCTACAGAGTGAGTTCCAGGACAGCCAGGGCTACACAGAGAAACCCTGTCTCAAAAAACCAAAAAAAAAAAAAAAAAAAAAAAAAAAAAAAAAAAAAGAAAAAGAGAGAGAGAGAGAGAGAGAGAGAGAGAGAGAGAGAGAGAGAGAGAGACACACCTGGGAAACTCCCTGGAGACAGCCACTCCTTGGAGGCCACAAGAGCTGACCCCTAAGGGGAACCCTGTGTGTATGGCTGTTCATGGGCTCACGAAGCTAACCAATCACCTGCTCCCAAAACTTGCAAGATGGGTAGTAAAGGGGTCCATAGGCCCTAAGTGAAGAGATGCCCCATGCCCTGCTCCTTGACAGGACTCTGCTTCAGAGAAATCAGGCACAGGACTCCCCTTTCTTGGAGTTAGGGAGGAGGCTCAGTTGACAGAGCATACACAAAGCCCTAGGTTCCATTATAAACTGAGCATGTCTGTCATCCCAGTACTGGGCAGCGGAGGCAGGAGGATCAGGAATTCAATGTCATCCTCAACTACATAGTGAGTCAGTGGCCTCAAACCAAAAAGACCCTTTTCCCAGGGACCCACCGATGTCTCCAGACTAGCTGTTGTGGGGGGGGCATGAGGGGCCACTGGAGAGCCCCACTCCTGTAGGGACTCACAACTCAGCAGTTTCTCTGGAGAATGGGAGTGTGATCAGAAGCACACCCGTGCTGTGGAGTGTCCACGTGCCTGCCTGTCCACTGAAGCTGAGAGGATGCCTGCCATGTCCCGACTTCCTGTTACTCTGAGGCGAGGACGCCCCCAGTGGTGCCTGTGCCCCATGGTTGGCCAAGGTATGGTGAGGTGCTCAGGCCAGCAGAGGCCTGCACTGAGGAAGTCCAAGGCAACAGTGGAGGTAATGGCCAGGGGAACTTTCCCAGCAGGACTCCTCCTTGCCCTGTAATTCTGAGCGACTTGAGCCCAGTAGCCATGAGGCCCCAGCAGCTGTGGAGCTACTGTTCTCTCTAGTCAGAGACATCTCTACACACACACACACCTAACAGCCAGGCACCTGACAGAGTAGTGCCATGCCACGCAGGAATCCCTTAGCTGCTGACACACAGGACTCTGTGTGCCTCCAAACCCTCTCTTCTTGTTTGGTGGGTTTTGATTTTCAGAAACAACTGGATGTTGGATGTCAGCTCCTGTCTCAGGCTGCTGGGATCACACCCTGCTAGGGCTCGGTCCTGTGTGTGGCTCACCCCCACCCAGCCTTCATCCTTTTCAATTCACACAAGGGGTTGGAATTATAGCATTTTTAATTGAGCCCGATAGCACCTGCCCCCAAGATCCGAGGGCATTCCCAAGCACCGTGGACCACCCCCCCCCCACAGCCCTAGCTCCCCCTGAATGGCAACCACAAAACACCCTTTCCCCACATTCCACGGGGCCCACTTGTACCCCGACTTCCCACTGGGGCTTTATCTCAATAAATACGACCTCAGGACCGAAACTGGGGCAGGGGGTCCCACAAAGGCTGCAACCCAGGGCCTGAGTCAGTCAGAACCTGCCTGGGCTGAGGCCCAGGCTTTACAGGGACAACCATGACCCCGGCCCTGCCTCATCTACAGCTGGACATTCTGTTTCTGGTCACAGAGCCGCAGCTGCCTGACTGAAATTTCCACCAGCACCCTTAGGTTTTTTTGTTTTTGTTGTTGTTTTTTTTTTCATCTTGACCAAATTCTTGGCGGGAGAGGGGGAAGGGGATCCAGAAACCTGGGAGCCAAAGCAGGAGGCTTTCCGAAGATACGGGAGTCCAAAGCAAGGCAGAGAGTGAGGTCAGAGACCAGGTCACTGTCCAGGGCCGAAGGAGCGCGTGTCTCCGGCTTGGGTCTGGGTAACCCGGGAATCGCGGGTGGCTTGGCCCATCTCCCTACGGATGTCGCCAAGCGCTGAGGCAGGGTTCTCCAGCAGTCTCTGGAAGAGACTGGGTCTGGCGGGCGGCTCACGGCACTGGAAGGTGACAGCCGTGCCAGCGTCCGCTTTCATCTCCCGGGAGAAGCCATCGGAGGAGCCGTCGAAGCAGCGGCCGATGGCGATTTCCTTGGCCAGCCGTGGGCTCTGGTCGGTGACCGTGTAGACCCCATAGTTGTGGCCCAGCGCGTCAAGGGGAGCCAGCATGGCGAAGGCGGCGGGGTCGTCGGCGGGGGCGAGCGGCGGGTGCCGGGCTAGATAGTCCTGCAGGAGTGTGTTGACGGCCACGCGACGGCAGCTGCCCTGCGGGGTCACAGTCACCAGTGTCCTGTCCACCTGGCGCTGGTCAAACAGCATGCCGCCGCACTTGAACTCCACGCAGGCGGCCGAGGCGCCGGGGCGCTCAGGGTGGCGCACGCTGCGGGTGTCGCGCAGCCCATAGAGGCGGCCGCGTGTGTCTTCGTGGGTGCCGCCCGCGTTGTGCGAACGCACCATGTACTCCTGCGGGCCCTGCAGCCGCACCTTCAGGAAGCACGCGCGGAACTCCTGCGGGTTGGGCCACCAGGCCAGCAGGTCGCCGGTCCACGAGGCGGGGGCTCCCTCGTGGAATGGCACTACGTCGTATTCGTACTTGTCCGCCTCCACGCGCGAGAATCGGAAGTGACTGTCGGTGACCGGCGCGTCCTCGCAGTCGCGCAGGCGGCGCCAGGGATACACGGGCCCGTGCGCCTCGGACTCGTGGCCCGCGCGTGGACGCGCAAGGTTCAAGCGGAAGCCGGTGCGCTTGAGCGCAGGGTCGTCGTGATCGGTGCGCTGGTAGCCTAGGCGCTCCAGGTAGGGCTGCGCCACGCCCACGGTGGCCGCGGTCGCGCGTGGTCGCGACGGCGCGGCCTCCAGCTCCTCGCCTCCCAGAGCCGCGGTCACAAAGGCCGTGTAGGCGTCGGGCCGCTCGGCGTCGCAGAAGGCCGGCACGCACGCCCCGTTGGGCCCTGTGACCGCGCTGTCGAAGCGGCCCCACGCGCGTGGGTTGGCCGTGAAGCCGGGCGCGGGCTCCAGGTTGAGCAGCGTCACCACCACGCCCTGCACCTGCTCGGCGGGCGCGAAGCGATCCGTGCCGTACGCGCGAACCTTCACGAAGCAGCGGCGCCGCTCTGGCACGTCTAGGTTGAACAAGCGGCGCTCGCGCACGGTGAGCGCGCCCACGAGGAACGCGCGCTCCTCCCTGCGCACGCGCGCCGCCGCCTTCTCACGCCGGAAGCCGCCTCCCCCGCGCTCAGCCCCCTCCTCCTCCCACAGCCCGGTCTCCGGGTCCAGCGACCAGAGGGCCAGCGCCTCGGCGTGGCCGGGCATGCGCACGTGGTCGGCGTCCACGCGCACGTCCGCGCGCGCCACGTGCAGCTGCTCTGGGGAGCCGGGCGCGCGCAGGTCCACGGCAAACATGCCGTAGGTGCGCAGCGGCGCCAGCTCACCCGCGCTGTCCAAGAAGCGCAGGTCGCTGGACGCCGCGGCCGCCGACGCCAGGTCACGAGGGTCCACGAAGGTGACACGCGCCTCCACGGGCCCCGCGTAGGGACGGCCGTCGGGGTGGTGGAAGGTCCGGGGCGGCAGGACCAGCTCGCCGAGCGCTGGCGCCTCCTCCGTCCCGCCCAGCGGGATTTCACCGCCCCGCTCCGCGTCCAGCAGCACTGCGGCCGCCTTGCGCTGCGCGCGGATCTCGTGGTACACACCAGCGCCGCGAGGGTCGAAAGGCAGCACGCGGACGCTGTCCACGAACTCACCACTCGGGTCCACGAAGGTCACCACGAGGCGCTCGGTGGCCGGCGGTACCTCGATGGTGAAGTCGCCCTGGTAGGAGGTGAAGCCGATGGGTGCGCGGCCCAGCAGAATCCTAGCGAAACGAAGGGGCTCCCCGGAGTCCGCAGCCACCACGCGGCCCCGCACCAATCCCCGACGGGGCAGGCACTTGCGACAGCCACACTCGGCCACCACCTTCACCGGGAGCACGTAGCCGGAGCAGCGGATGTCCCTGCTCTCCAGGCGCAGCACTGAGCAGCAGCGAGAGCCCGCGTCCCCACAGCGAGCGCCGGAGCCCACAGGGCCCGGGCAGCGTGTGTCCGCGCACAGACCCACGTCTAGGTACGTGGGGCCGCCGCCGGGCTGGCCGCAGTCGTCCGGAAGCTTGATCAGGTGTTCCTGAGGTCGGGGGTCACAGGCCGGCTGGCCGGGAGCTGGGGATTCCACACAACCAGGTCATGGGAGGGAGGCCGAGGGGCTTGGGGCTGGGCTCGCGTGGGGTGGAGTGGGACTGGACCACACTCACCGAGTATCGTGAGGTGGGCGACGCGGGATCGCACGGTGCCGGCGTCGTTCCAGGCCTTGCAGTGGTACTCCCCTGCCTGCTCCTCAAGAAGCCCCTGGAGCTCTAGGTGTGGCCCAGACCCCTGCTGGCGTCGGTCCAGTAGGGTCCCGTTGTGGAACCTGAAGAGGGCAGTAAGTGCACAGCATCATGGGGACTTTAGGAATGGTGGCTGAACTGCGTCTGTCTCTAGGAGGGAAGAGCTGGAGAGTGGCTTCCTGGAGCTCAGCCTCACCCTGAGCGTCTGCACGTCTCAGGGAAGACAGAGGCCTGCATTCACTCCGAGGAGGTTTTTGTTCTGTTGAGACAAGGTCTCCTGCATTTTAGGCTGTATAGCAAAGGGTGAGTTTGAACTCCCGATCCTCCAGCCTCTACACACTAAAGGCGTGCCTCACCAGGCCCGCTCTGCTTTTCCTTCTTTGGCAACATGGCTACACACACAAACACACACACACACACACGCACGCACACACAATGTAACCTATGTAACCTACACGACTTCAAGATCACGACAATCCTCCTGCCTCAGCTCATGATCTCAGTGCTGGGATCATGTGTTCATCATCACACCTTAGATTTAAAAGGCTTTGAAGTACCACACGGTACCATCCTAGTCAACCCAAAGCTGGCCGAGTTCCCTGAGTTTGCTTGGACACTCACCAGGAATATTTCTTGGGCATGGGTGTCCCCGAGGCCTTGCAGCAGAAGGTCACATTCTGACCTGCCTCTCGAACTCGAGACTCAGGGTGCTTTACCAGGTACGGCTTCCCTGAGGGGGTCAGAGTTGGCCAAGCTCACGACCCTGCTATACCCCAGGGAACCCTTTTTCTTCGAATTGTCTCAGGGACAGCCCGCCTCATTCTGTGGTGTCAACAAGTGAGTCACAGCTTATTTCTCCCCCATGGCCTGGAACATCCTCCTCTGTAACTCACATGTTCTTGGCTGCAGGGACACTCACCTAACTCTTCAAGGGTGATGGTGACCACAGCTGAGGTGGAACTGTTGGCATGGGCCTGGGCTGTACCAGCAGAGAACCCATTCATCTGGGCGCTGACATTGGCCTTGCTGCCAGCGCAGACTCCAGACACTCGGAAGGTTCCATGAGTACCGCTGGTGGCTATGGTGCCAGGTCGAGTTCGGAGGGAGACCCTGGCTCCTGATAGTGGGCGGCCAGATGGAGTGACCACCGAGCCCAATAGGATGTGGTTGGGGCACCTGCAGGTGTCAGAGCTACACCCTAGGGGAACATGGGAGCAGCAGAGGCAAGAGAGAACTCTTGGGGAGAGCTTTGCACTTATGTAACCCTGCCTCCCATCAGTTCCCCACAAGCTTCGTGGGCCTGGACGTAAGTGAGCCTGGAGCCAGGGATACCGGGGCAGAGCTGGAGCAATGTGAGGAAGGTGGGCCCATAGATACAGGGGAAGTCTGCGAGCAGACCACAGAGGCTGATTCTTAAAAGATGGTGAGGACTCATCGGGCAGGGATACCTAGGTGGGGGCTGGGAGCGAGGGGCTGTCTTGGACAACATCTGTCTCACTTCCAACACCGCTGCTTCACCACACAGTGGAAAGTTCCAATGGAAACTTCAGGGCAGAGGCACCGGGTGGGGTCCCCACGATTAGCCACATCGTGCCCCCACTATATGGTCTGCAGCTGTCTGCAGACCATGTTTGTGGAGCCCAGGCCCCGGGTGGAATTTCCAGTCCCCTCCTGGCTGGCCTGCTGTCTGGCACAGGGAGGGCCTGGGCATCGTGTCTGCGTGGGCGACCAAGACAGGCAGAGACTGACGGCTGCATGAGTGGACGCAGAGTGTGCAACTGGCTTCTGTCTACACACAGGGATATCTTAGTGTATACACTAGGGGAAATAACTCCTCAGGTCTTCCCATGCCTGCCCCGCACCCACAGACCCCGCCTGTATAGTCTCCTTCTCTGGCGTGTGCATGGCCTCCACTTCAACTGGTCCAGTCCTCTGGGCCCCTTTTTATGTGGACCCCACCTTTGATCATCCCCTCCTCTGGCCCCCGTCCCTCCTACCTGGGCAACGGGATCTCATACACTTCTGCGCCTCCTGGGAGCTCCCGGGACACGTGTCCCCAGAAGAGCTTTGACAGCTGCGGCGGCGCAGGCGACGGCCTGGCCCGCAACTCTTGGAGCAGAGGCCCCACGCTCCCCAAGCGCCCCACGCCGCCTCTGCGGAGCAAGGAGGGAGATGAGGTGGATCTGCCTACCTTGGGCAGCGGGCTTTCTGGACTACGTGGATGGGTTCGGTTCTCCCAGCATACACCCTCCCTGACTGCAGTCCTGCACAGAGCTCACCTGTCCCGCACTCCCCCCCCCACACCCGGCTCCTTGCTAGGTGCGGTTGTGATTAGCCCTGCTGTCCCCCATTGGACTTCAATATGATAAGGCTTAAGGCATCCTCCCAACACCGAGCTGTTCAGGCTGGACCAATGGGATCCTGGCATGTCAGTGCACTACCTACAACAACCTGGGCAATGTTCGCGGGCTGATGGGTGTGTCTCACTAAGCCACGCCCATACAACGCAAACTCCGTGCCCTGCCACCACTGGGCCTTGCTCCTTAGGGTCGTACTGGACCCGCCCGCCCAAGCCTATGGGCCCCGCCCTTACCCAGTGGACAGCGGAAGCGCACGTGGTAGTTGGAGCAGTGGCGGCCTCGCGGTTGCTCGCGATTAAGACACCAGAAGCCGCGCTCTGGGTTGGCGTGCACCCTCTCGCCCACTGCAGCTGGTAGCGCCCAGTCGGTGGTGCGTGCCTCCAGCGCCAGTGGCTTCGGGCACACGCGCGCGGGCCCGTAGTAGAAGCGAATGGCAGCCAGGCTCTCGAAGTCGCCATCTCCTCCCGGGTGGTCCACGTTGAACCACGACGTCCACTCGCTGGCTTCTGCGGGCATCGCACGCTGAGCCCGAGTTCACCTCCCGCTAGTCCCTCCAGCTTGGAGCCTTGAGGTCAGGGCCTCCAGGAGCTGTGATGTCCAAGGACTCCTCACTCTCCCTCCCCTCCCCGCTGACCCCACCAAGCCCAGATCACACAGGCGGGTTGCTGAAGTGACTCACCCTCCCACTCCTCGAGGGCTGGCGAGGGCTGGCCGGGGTCTGGAGGCCGTCCCTGAAGACCCCTGGCGGTTGCGGTGTGCTCCTCGGTGTGGGTGGCGTCTGTGGGAGCTCGAGGAGACACACGATAGGGACCACTGAGATCCCCTTTTGTTGCAACAGGGGGAACATTGACCACATTTCACGGGGTAGAAAACTGAGGCTCTGAGAGGCCAGCTCTAACACTGGGGACTGCAGCAGCACCCACTCCAGGAAGCCTTCCCATTACTGGCAGCAGACCCTGAAGCCCAGTCTCTCCACAGGTTAGGCGACTCTTCCCACTCTACCCCTGTAGGCTCAAATGTTCATCAAATACAAGTCGAACACATTCAGCCCTGCCTCTGCCCGCAGATCACTGCGGTCTCTTTCTGGAAGTCCCTCCTGCCATCTACTCCCCCGGATCTTTCTAGGTGGGATGCAAGGTGCCAACAGCTAAGTCCTTGGTTTCCCTGGCCTTCCAGCTTTACAAGATGGACTAGGAAGGTAGATCCAGATAAACCTCTTCTTCCTGGAGCCCCATCCTCTGAGAAGTGGGACTGTCGCCAACCCTGCGGAGGGACAGCTACTACCCCTTGGCACAGATTTGGAAACCTGAAGATTTACGGTTCAAAGCCTTGGCCCGGTAGACCTTCCTAGGAGGATGGAAGAGGTCTCTTTCACCCACTCTCTGGGACGCTCATAAGATGCCCCTCCCCTGCCCGCTTTTCTGCGCGCGGGGCCCGCAGAGGCATCTCACCTCGCGCTCCCGCTAAGTGTGCGGCGGCGATGCAGAGACAGAGCAAGGGCAGAGGTGACGCCATCGCCAGGTCCGAGCTGCTCTGCGAAGCTCTGGGATCCGACTGGGGCGGGCCTGGCGGCTACTTGGAACTAAAAAGGCGGGACGCGGCCTGCAAGCCACGCCCCTGTATACCACGCTGGGTCGCCCTTTTTCTATGCCTCCCGCGGTGCCTCCGCCCTTAGACCCCCCCACCCCGGGCCCTGCGTTCCCCCTCCTTCTCTGAGTCCGGTCCCTGTGCTGGGCTCCCTCTGGTCTTAAACTTGAAGTTGCTGGGCGCCCTAGGCTGCTGGACGTTCTTTATATTGTTTAACTTCGGTCCTAAGAACTGTAGGCCACCCCACCCCCAACCCCCGGCAGCCTGGAAGTCCCACTAGGGGTCTGCTCTCCATTCTAGGAAACTCCACGGCGCAGCTCCTCTCCTTAAGCCTGGAGAGAAGTCCCCTCTCCACCCGTCCACCCCCTGGCCTGGTGCACAAAAGAGGCAGAGGGAGAGGTGGTGGAGATGTTTATTGGTGCCGGTCACAGTGAGGCCACGCAGTCAGTGCCAGTATATTTTGGCAGGTGCAGGCCAAACTTTCGGCGCACGTCGTCAGGCACGAACCTGCCGGCTACAAAGTGGTGACGTCCGGAGAAGTGACAGGCGCAGCTTTTGGGCGCCGCAAAGGACACCAGCACATCGGGCTGCACCGCGTCCTTCTCGTCGCCGCCAGCCTCGGCATCCCAGCCTGAGGGCGGAAGAAGGGAAGCTGAGAAGACCTCGGGCCCGGACCAAGTCGGCCCTGCCTCCCTCCACGCACGTGGGTAGCGGTCAGACCTGCTGACCGCAGACCCGCCTCCACCCTCCGACTACACCATTTCCACCGTCAGCCTGCCAAGACCCAGCCTCTGCCTTCTGAGCCGTGTCTCCCTCCGCAGCGGTCAGGAGCCGCCTCGCTCAAATCAGACCTTCCTCACCCACCTCCGGTCTGACCTCAGCTGCCCTTCTCGGACTAAGTCCCCACCCTCTACTGTGACCCGAGACCCCCCTCCTTCAGAACTCTGCCCCCCACATCACCACCGGGTTTGATTTCCCCCTCCGACCTGAGACGTCTCGGCTCTCTGACCCACCGGATGTTACATTTGTCAGTCTCTACCCTCTCTCCAAACCACCAGGAGTTTCGGTTCCACCCAGTCCGCGTCCCAGCAACCTGGATTTCTCCGCTGCCTCAGGCACTAACCAGAGCCGCCGGCTCTTCTCTCTGATTGCAGGATCCCCCACTTTTCCGGGACCACCTACTGTCTCCCCACTCGGACTAGCTATGCCTCGGCTTTGGTCTGGGATAGTCTTGGAGCCATCTAGCTGGGGACGCCCCCACGCAGTCCCCACGGAAGGCTGAGCGCTATTTGTCCCTAGCAGCTCTGGCCTGGCAGGCATGGCCTCTGCCCAGTGAGCTCACGTCTGTCGAGCAACAGGGCTGGTGGTGGGTGGTGCCCCTGGAGCTGAGCACCCGAACCAAGGGGACACCGAGTCACTTAGGGCAGCCGCTTGTATCGCTCCCATCCTCAGGGCGGGTGTGAAACAGGATGAGGGCAGACACGGAAACTGAGGTTGAAAGAGTTGGACAAGGAAAACCTAGGGTGGGGATGAGGGAGGTGCAGAGGGGAATTTGGGATGGATGGAAAAAAACAGGCTCGGGTAACCAGGCTGCCCCTGGGTGACGTGCCTGAGGGGACGTCCAGGCTCACGAGCGGGATGGAGAGTCGCTTCAGCGTGGCCAGCGCGCGCGCGCAAGGCCCGCCTGCCTCCGCCGGCCGCACTCCTGGCCCAAGCACCGCGTCCACCACCAGCCCGTACGCGTCGTCGATGAGCCGCACCTGGGGAGAGGGGCGGTGTCAGGTGCTACGCTCGGACGGGACGGGGCAGGGGCAGGGTGGGCGCCTCTGACCTCGGCGGGCAGGAAGGACAGGAAGGGGATGTCCATCTTCTCGCACTGCGTGGTCAGGTCACGGTGCAGCGCATCGGCCGAACGCACCGGGCAGAAGATGCTGGGCTGGTATTCCTGGGACGAACCCGGGTTCGGTGATGGAGGTGGAAGAGAGTCCCCCTCCTGACCCCAGCGGGACCCCAGCCCCATTTCTGCCCCCCCGCATCACGACCCTGTTACTTACGAACACCCGCAGGTGCCGGGCACACGCCAGCCCCACGGCGCCATTCTGCTCCGGGCCGCATACGACCAACACTGTCCTCTGTTTCCGCGACAGCGAGGGCAGAGGGAACGCCTGAGACATAACATACAGCAGGGCAGCTCGATGGGGGGTGGCGCTGGGGCAGAGGGACGGAGCCACATGCGGGGGGCCGGAAGGCGGACCCTGCCTCACGCCCAGTCCTAGTGCAGTTTGTTTACCCATTCCCACATCCCTCGCCCAGCTCCCTCAAAAAGGTGAAAAGTGGGGTGATCCCAGAGGGATGTCCGCAATTCGGCAAGAGTGGTGCCTAGGCCATCTTTCTCTGCCCCACTCCTGCCTTTACCTTTCGGTATTTCCTGTCTGCTTTCTATCTCAAACGATCAGTCTGCGCACATTATTTTTGTTTTAGAGGTCCTCACTCTTACTCAGGCTGGTCTTGAACTTGTAGCAACTCTCCTGCCTCAGGCCCCCCAACTGCGGAGTTAGCAGCTATGAACCACCACGAAGGCAAGCTGGGCTACTGAAGAAAGCCAGCGAAGTGGCTCAGCTGATAAAGGAACTTGCCACCAAGCCTCTGAAGGGACTGTAGTTTCTTTCCTGAACCCACATGATGGAAGAACACTAGCTCACAAACTATCCTACCCACCCCACATGCTTACATTCACACCCAAGGGCGGGGGCGAGGGGGGGGAAGAAATGGAATTTAAAACCAAGAGAGGCAGGGTATATGCGGTGCTGGGAGGTGCTTATCCTTGGGCTTCTACGTGGAGGATCCCAAGATCACCTCAGTGGGCCTCACAGTAAGCGCCTTTGACGTAGTCAACAACACCCTCCTGTCAGCGGAGGTTTAGCCCCCTACTGCGGTCCCACCCTGTCCATCTTAGGACCTTTTTTCCCTTTGGGGCATTTGGGGTTGTGGCAGGGATAGCTGAAAGGTAGGTCACACCTCTGGGAGACCCAGGCCTGCACCTCGAAAGATTCAGCCCCACCCTGTAGGTGCCCCCCCCCCAATCTGAGTCTCTGGGGACCCACTTCTGCCTTGTCTGGTACCCTAGTTCTGGGTTCTGTGGTCAGGTCTGGTGGTGAGCTCTCTTGTACTTCAGTTTCCCAACTCGAGTGACAGGTAACACCGAGCAAAGGGGGCTGGTACCTTGGTCACAGCCACCGCACTGGCGTGCCCACATAGTTCCACCAGCTGCTGCCGCCCGAAGCGGTACTCCTCCAGTAGCTCCCGCTCCAGGGCGGCCGCCTCCGAGGTGCTGCAGACGGAGTTGGACAACACGCTCAGAGGTGCAGACAGAAAGCAGAGACTCGAGGATGGCTGCCCAGACCCCAGCCAAAGACCGGGTCCAAGAGGAGTTCCAGTGGCCTTGAGACCCGGGTCCGCCATCTCTTGCCCAGGTTTCCCATCCCACAGCATGGTTTGAAATGGCAGCCTGAGGCGCGCGAGCCCTCTGGTGGTCAAAAACTCAGTGGTGGTTTTATTGCCAGAAAACTTAAGACTGACTGAGCCCAGCGACTCAGAGATCAGAAAGATGAATGCAGACTGAGCCCTGCACGCTGCAAGGTCTCACTGCATAGCTCAGGGTGTCGCCGTCGAACTCTTCGTCCTCCTCTCTCAGATTTATAACTGGTGAGCTCACTCACCCGACACCTTAAAAGAATTTAATTTCTGATACAGGGGCCAATGAGGAAGCTCCAGCACATTGGAGGGGGCCAACTCCAGCTTGTCAAAGTGGTTTTTGAAGTCTGCAGAGTTTAGCAGCTCACTCAAGAAAACGGGAGGGGGCCTTCAACTGGACAATGAAATTAAGATATCTGAACTAGGCTAGGTAGCCCTACTCCTTCAATCCCAGAACTTGGGAGGCAGAATGGTGAGTCAAGGGTACATCATAGTGAGACTTCTGTTTGCCTGTTTTTTTGTTTGTTTGGTTTTTGTTTGTTTTTGTTTTGGTGGGGGTTGTTTTTGTTTGGTTTTGATTCTTTGGTTTCTCCATGTAGTCCTTATTGTTCTGTCCTGGAACTAGTTTTGTAGATCAGGCTGGCTTTGAATTCAGAGATCCACCTTCTTCTGCCTCCCAAGTGCTGGCTTGTGCCACCACGCCTGGCATGAGACCCTATTTTAGTAAAGAAAATTAAGATATCTGAGACCAGAGAGACGGGCTGCTGGGCTATGTGGCTTTACCACCACTTGACTGAGGACTGTCTGCAGCCTACCTCTAACAACTGAAGGCAAGAACAGATTACACAATTCATGAGTCTGTTCAAAAGTCAGTAGCAATTTAATGTTGGATATGGCTTGACAGAACACCTGTCAAACATGCATGAGGCCCAAGGTTCCACACACAGCATCAGGGAAAAAGGTAAGTTTTAGAAAGGGATAGCAAGTACAGGCACCAGGACAGAGGTTGGGGAGCCTCCGCCTGCTGACAGGGCTGGCAACCTGGCAAGGCGGGCACTGCACTATGGAACCAGGGCTAGGAGGACAGGGCCTACTTGATGCTAACAACCCTCCTCACTTCCTTTCCAGGTGTGGACTGCTTGTGTGGGGTGTATACTACCCAGCAAGCACTGCCAAGACATGGACCTCAGGCAGGGCATCCTAGGGGAAGGGAGGAGACAGGGGAATGTCAAGGTAGGAAGGGAGAGCACCTGGAACAAGTCTGGAATGACCTGGGGCAGAAACAGCAAGTGTGGAGAACAGGGTAGGAAGAACTCAACACACCAAGACACACTTCAGAGCCGGACTCGGTAATGCATGACTTTAACCCCCGTGCTCAGGAGGCAGAGGCAGGTAGATTTCTGTAAGTTCAAGGCCAACCTGGTCTACAGAGCAGGTTCCAGGACAGCCTGGGC